CATATTTGCGGTGGATTGAATCCCTGGATCTAACCAGAGTTCATGCCATGTGTGATAGTGTAACACCTTGTCTAATAGTAAGAGGTATTTTGGATGAGACTCATGTTTAATATGATGATTTTTGATGGACCTACCCTACCAACTTGTTCTTCGGGATATGTTCTTTACTTAGTGATGAAGATTTGATTAAAGGAAGTATTGATATATGGCCATGTATGCATCGCTTGCATAGTTCAATGTATTGGTTGAGTTTGATATGACTATTGATTTGTATCCAACTCTGAAAAACTTCCGTTTCAAAAATGGTCCAAGTTTAAGTTTAACATGACTCGGTTTTGATCGGCCTGACTCGGATACATATTGTTTAAATTGGCCATTTTGTTGTGAGACACACATAATTGTGACCTTTGTTGAGCAATCAGATGCAAAACCAAGAACAATATAGAAAAGGGAAATTCTGATGTTAACCCCGGGGGGGGGGGGGGTTGGGGGTTGGGGAAGCTGACAACCAATTGTAAAACCCACAGGGAGACATGTCTACTATATGGCAAGAACAAGAAACTAAAAGCAAACATAAGCCAAACCAGCAAAAACCATCAGATTGAATACTGAAGCATCACAAGTCAAGAGCCCCTCTTTTTCTTCTGATTTTTGAAGTTACCTTGCACCATCCTTGTCTCTTTGCTTCACTCTTTGATCGCTAATTAGTAACCGACCTACACTCCGATCGCGAATTGCAAAGAGAGAAGGGTGGAACTGTAAAAGTTAAGAACGGCTGAAAAATTGCAAACAGTTAGTCAGATGCATCTTTTATTGTTGTAATATTTTATTTTTGTGGGAATAATGATTAGCAAAAGGCTTCCTTATCCTTAGGACTTTTTAGGGCAATAGTTAACAATCTGATGTTTTGATGGAGTAGTTAATTAGGATTCAAATAATCGGCCGTCGTATCCTACTTGTCACTGATCTGATAATGATGCATGGTATCAAAATAATACAAGTCTGACGTGCATCAGTTCCGATTCAGTTTAACTCGGTCCAAATCAAAATCATATTGTTTGAATCAGCCAATTCACATCTAAATCAAACGGATTCACACAGAATCGCTCCCCACATCTCCGACAATAGAAAAAATGCCCCCCAAAAAAAAAAGACAAGAGAGAAGAAGTTGGAGAACCCAAAATTCAAAAATGGGACGCAACTTGAAAACATAATAAAAACAATAATGGAACTTCAAAGAATCCACATGTTGGGCGGGAATAGAATAAGGAATCCAAAAGAATTGTAACCAATATTTGTAAAATGGGGAAAAAAACTTATTTTTTGTAGCAGAGAATAGCATCTTGCACATCAATTGCAAAAATTCAGGCCTAGGACCATTGAAAGTTGGGCTTTAAGTGTTGCGCACCCCCTCCCCCCTCCCTCTTCTCTCTTCTTTTCATCTCAGCTTTTACCTCAATACTCTCTCTCTCTCTCTCTCTCTCTCAGAGTCATACAGAAAGACAAAGGACCACGTCTTGCCATCTATTTGAACCTTTAAGGATTTAGAGTCTTGATTTTAGTTTTTTCCCCATTATGTTTTATTCTTTGTTTTATCCTTTGATTTATTTTCTATAATAAATTTTTAGTTAAATTTCTGTTTTGTTTCATGTTATTAATTTAGATTGTATTTACATGTATAATTGTTAGTATCGTACGATACGTAATACGATACGTTGCGATACATGAAGAAAACGATACGTATCACTTAAGTGTATCTGTTTGCATCGTATCATGAGATACACAATACGATATACCAAATGATACGTACGAGTTGTCGGACGACACAGATCAAAAAAATTTTCTTTGAATTTTGACTAGAAAACGATGCCTTTTCACTTGAAAATAATTTTTTTCAAACTAGTGTTTTGAAAAGCTCGCCTAGGCGAGAAGCGAGGTGAGGCGAGCTTATCTCGCCTGGAGGACCCCAGGCGAAGCGAGAAAAAACGAACGTTTTATTATAAGAGGCAATTCTGCTTCTCTTTTTTTTTTTGATTACAGGTTAGTAGTCTCTTTTATTTTTTAATCACTAATGACTTTTTTTTAGACTATCGCTGGTCTATTTTTTTTTCTAATAAACAATTTTTCGAGCAAAACACATTCCTTTTTTTTTCTTGTGTTACTAAATTCATTTAGAATATTTGTGGGATGTGGGAGTCAGGCGACTGCATGACAAAATTATGATAAAGAAAGGAAGCAGGAGTATCAGGAATAGGGGTAAATAATAGAGTTTTCTACAAAGAAGTGTCTCTGATATGTCTTGGTTATACTTTTCCCTTTTCTTATATATATACAAATGGTACCAAAAAGTGGTCTATGCTTATACCATGTTTAATTATTTTAGTACATGTGAAATGTGCCTCTGTTCTGCTTTTTTTATTTAGTACATAATAACATATGAAATTGTTTACAATTGATTCTGCTCCTGTCATGATCATTGGGCTTCTGATTTTTTTTTAGCTCATTCTGCTTCTATTTTTTTTTGTTGATTCTGTTGCTGCTTTGGTTTTCCTGTCCTGTGCTGCTTCTGTTTTTTTTTTATTCTCATTCTGTTTCTTTTTTTTTTGTTGCTGATTCTGCTGCTGTCCTGATTCTGTTTCTTTTGTTGTTTTACCCTGTCAATATGAAAATGTATACAATTGTTAGTATTTGTTTGAATCTAAAGGTTTAAGTTATGACTGTTATTAAGATTTGAGATATTATTAGTGTTTGTTTTAATTTAAATGTTTATGGTTTTACTTGCATTTAAATATTTAGTATATATAAAATTAAAACTTAGATTGTTTAGAAGAAATTAAACGAAAATATATATATTTTTTAACTGTTCGCTTTGCTTCGATAAAGTGTGTCGCTTCGCTTCTCGCTTCTCGCCTAGGTGTTAGGAGCTTTGGTCGCTTCGGTTCGCTTTACGCCTTAAATAACACTATTTTAAACACTAGGTAATAAAACGATGTCATTTCACCATCTACAATTTTTAAGAAATAAAAAGCTTTTTTTTTGTTCGTTTCATTGTAGGAGCAAATAGTTTGATTGTTAAAAGTGTTATCCTTTGACTACTTTAGATGTTAGAACTAGAACTCTCTAAATTTTGATATTGATGAATTATGTTAGAAATTTTAATACTTTAATTGTTAATTTTTTTGTTGTGGTCCCTATAGTTTTTTTAAATTGTTTTATGTGAGAAATTTGTAATGCAATAAAATGTTATTATGACATTTTTGTTATAGGTATATGTATTTTTTAATATGTTTTATAAAACTGCACATATCTTACGATACGCGATACATTGTTTTTTGAAAAACGATACGTCTTCTTATACACGTTTTGACAACCTTGTTTGCATGTATAGAATATTTATACTCAATAGTTTGGGATCTAATTTATTTATCATATTCATATTGATCACTAATGATGATAAATATTTCCGGTAGCATTCTCATATTTCATTTTCACTGTGTAAGCTTGTCTGATTATGCCTATTCCTAATCCTAAATGAAATGTAACGACGTAGAGATTCATATGTAAACATAGTATCTATTTTGATATGCTCGAATGATTCCTCATAATGAGAATGTATATAACCCTCTTTCGGTTTGGTTCGGTATGGAATGAACTTATAATAATGGAATTGACTCGATCATCAGATCAGATTATAGATTACAAATTCATAACCCTAGCCCATTCCCATTTTGGGCGAAACAGATTTACTAATTTAATGTGTTTGGGGATGGATTTTGGACAAATGATGAATTGATCTTCTTGTTTACATTTTTTAAAATTTTTGTTTTTATTTTTAATTTTTTTTTACACTTCTATCTAACCTTTTGTGTGACGTTTATCAATGTCGTCTGAGTCAAAGCCCCGATGTTGCGACATGTTATTGTATTTATTTAGTGATTTGTAACTTTCAAGTCAATATAATTATACATGCATATTAACTAACCCATAATTAACTTATCTATAATTAGAAATACGCTGATAAACGTGGTTTTTTTTTTTACAATTTGAATTTTATTATTAAATTTTAATTTAAACTAGTTAACATATTTAGATGCAATATTAGTGAGAGATAATATAATTTTTTCTTTGGCAATTTATTGATAAATATGCCATATTCTTTTATTTTTTTATTTCACATATTCAAAATTTAAACTAGTGGTAACTCTGGTAGCACCCTTACATTTCATTTTCTATATGTTTAATGTGGTACACGATTAGATTTTGGACATTCATGGATTTTACTATTAATTTTTTTTTTGAACTTTTCATGAATTTTTGTATTTTTTGGGCTTTTATTTACATTTTGCGTTTATGGCCTGATAACGCTCTGCAACTCCGTGATTGATGCGTTTTAGTGCCCTCTGAATTGTTGACCGATGCTGGGTCCTTAAACCATGATCTCTTGCCTTCCTGCGTATACTTCCAAGGTCATGCACCATTAGATTGTCAGTTCTCTTCATATGAAATGATATTTATGCTGTGTAGAAATTGTTTGTCAATGCTGGCATCTGATACTAGAGAGCTGCTCTTTGTGATCCTAAACTAGCCTGTTAAGTTCACATTGGTGTTAACTTTTCCTCAATGGGGTTCCTGAATGAAAGTAGTGCATTGTAGCTTGCCATCTATACCATGATCTATGATGTGTCTTTGGGGTAGTGGAGTTGTTGATCCCTATTTGTTGCAAATTTCTTTTTTGTTTGGCAAACGTGTACTCATAAACCGCTGTTGTTTTTTACAGATATGGTAATGCTAATGTGTGGAAGATCTTCACAGATTTGTTTGACTTTTTCCCACTTACAGCATTGGTTAGTGTGATTTAATAATTTAAGTTCAGAAACACATGCACACACACTCATTCCCCTATATATGTGTATATCAAAGCATGCACACAAGAACTATAAAATTAGTCTTCTATTCATCCACATGTATATATAGTCTTGAATTGTTAGCTAGAATCGATAATGTTCCTTGCAAGTGTGATATTACGGGAAGATACAATATTGCTGCATACACAATCAGAAATTACTGGTTTAGTCTGGCTTTCTGATGGGGCTGTGGTTTGTCCTAATTGGTCCAGGTAGACTAAGTTTTCTGTTGCCCATAATGCCTTACATTTGATTTTAGCATACTGCACATAGTGTTATTCACCAGACCTCTGCGTTAGAAATGGTCTTCACCTAATATAGCCCCTGTTAACCAAGGATGCTGGGAGGGTTGGATTGGGTACAGATTGAACTGAGATTGTGCTTCAAGATATGTATACAGATGCCCTGTAATTGCCTGCAAGGGCAGAATTGAGATTGTGCTTCAGACTAAATTCTTAGTTCTTCCATCTAATGGTTGATCAGTAGTTTCCAATCAATGGTACCCTCCTATTCATTCTTGTTCAGGTTATTTCTGTTCTTTTTGGTATGTTAGGAACTTTCTTGTTATATATGGTAATTGTTTTCAATGATGAATAATGGGTCTTGGAAATTTTCTAGGTTGAATCGGAGATCTTTTGTCTCCATGGTGGACTGTCCCCTTCCATTGAAACTCTTGATAACATACGTAATTTTGATCGTGTCCAAGAAGTTCCTCATGAAGGGCCAATGTGCGATCTTCTTTGGTCTGACCCTGATGATCGTTGTGGTTGGGGTATCTCACCTAGGGGTGCTGGATATACTTTTGGCCAAGTATCTTGCTCTGAGTGCGCCTTTGTTTCCTTTTGTTGGATTTCCTATCTTAAGGAGAACTAATGTTTATTCGCCGGCTACTTTTTTTCTTTGACAGGACATATCTGAGCAATTTAACCAGACCAATAACTTAAAGCTTATTGCTAGAGCACACCAGTTGGTGATGGAGGGATTTAACTGGGGTCATGTATGTACTTTCCTGAACCCTGAGATCCATTTGGTTTTTGGCTGGCAAGATTCATAATAAATTGTGCAATTTCTTGCGACAGGAGCAAAAGGTTGTTACTATATTTAGTGCACCGAATTATTGTTATCGCTGTGGAAACATGGCTTCCATTCTGGAAGTAGATGACTGCAAAGGCCACACTTTCATTCAGGTCTCTCTCTCTCATCCCATTTTAATGCCAAATCGCAATGCAAATTATAGATGTGGGGTATTATTGATGTTATAATGTGAGGAAATCCACCTTTCATGTAAATGTGTTGCTAGCTTTCTAGTGGTTTTTGTAATTGCATCTATTGTGCAACTAAAGAGTGAAATCCCACAAACTATCTGGTTGCAGTTTGAGCCAGCTCCCCGGAGGGGAGAGCCAGACGTTACCCGAAGAACACCAGATTACTTCCTATGATGCAGCTGCCATGGAGACTGAGGTGCTAAAATTCGAGTGGCATGTGCCTTCTGGATGCCTTTTTGAGAGCTATTTAAAGAAATTTGAAATTGTAGTTTTGCTAGGTTTGGTTGGGGTAACCGAAAGCATGTAGTATGGGCAGGTAATGCTTTCTTTGATTCAGTTGTTATCCTGAACCGAGTTATTGCAACAGAGGCAGTAGAGCTGGCTACACATTTGCTGCATATGTACCATTTCCTGCAAAGTGTGGCGACCTTCTCGTTCTTATGTTAATTACTTTTCCATCATTTTTTGCCTCTTAGGGTAGAAGGTTGATCATTTTGATTGGGGCTCTGTAGAGGGAAGATTTTTTCTTTTCCATTTTAATGGATGCTTTGTAATTTTTTTTTTGTTGGCATACCCGTTGAATCTACTTTCTTTCCCATCACAGTATCCTTGAATGTGGAAGGTTAATTCTCTTCCACTTTTCTTCTTTTCCTCTTTTCATTTGTAGAAAGATCAATTCATGCTCTTTTTCGTGTGGGTGGTTTTTTTTTTTGGCCATAAAGCTGTTATTTACTGGTCTTGGTTAAAGCTAGTATCAGACAGGCTGACCAACTCTCTGAGTTGGTTTTATTTCAATACTGATGTGTGTGAGATCGCAGGAGTAAGAGGACGGCCGGAGAAAATGTATAATGATATACTAATAGTGTAACAGAGATTAGGCTTCTTTCTGAGAAGCTCTGGGTAGAAGGAATCTAGGGAAAAGTTTTTATTCTGATAAAGGTATGCTTCAGGCTATTCGGAATTTAAAGAGTTTTTAATCTATTTTCTGAATTCATGGGCTTGGGACTAAATATACCAATTCAATCCCATGAAATTGGTTTGTTGGAGGGTGAGTTATTTATTATTATTATCTTTTAGGCGGACGCAAATCATCCCTCGTATGAGCCAATTTTTATCTCAGCCCATGGGGTTGTTTTGGCAAACTTCCATTGGTATGTCTGTACTACTGGTCCAGGTCTAAGGTTTCGGGCTTATACCATGCCGCCAAATACAATCCAAATGCGGGATAAGTGTGCTCCGAGATGAAATTAATCCAATCCCGTTACTTTAAAACCCCGGACTAATCATACCCCAAGGAGGCGACGAAAGAAATTTTTTTCTGCTTTGCGTTGTATTACAAAAGCAGTACTGCTGGCTGAAGCTAAGCATTATTTAACCAAAAGGCCCGAAAAAATGCTGCAAAATTCTTTCAAAAAGAAGTGCTACTGAATGAACGGTGTGGACTGAAATTCTCCGGTTAGGTTGACATTTACATTAGTCCGTAAGAGATTCACGAAGCACACATAATTTTTCTAGGCTCGTTTGAATGACAATAATCATAATTGAGAATGAACGCCTCATTCTGACATTTTAGACATTGTTTGTATTCTCTCTGTGGTCGTCTATCTACAAATTGGGTGTCTAGTGTAAGGCCAAACTGGGCACTAGGAGAGCTCTAATGTATGATAGAGGTAACGTGAGAAGCTTCCTAGCTCTCCCAACATAAGCTCTCCTTGTCAAGTTATCATAATCATTGTCCTCAATGGCGTCCAAGATATTGCGATACAACAGCAAAGATGACCACACCTGCAAAATCACCACAAAGAATCAATATCAAACACTTAAAAAGCAATAGATTATACTTATATACATAATTGAAGACTCTCCAAAATGGGAATGACAAGTAATTATTTCTCCTATGACATGTTGGAGTTTTGAATCGGAGAATCAACCTCTCAAAATAAAGATCAGACTACCTTTACTTATCCGTATTAGATCTCATTAAAGGTGGGAGCTCAGTGCACCAGATAAAAAAATATACTGGAAGACCGACTATACATGTTTTAGCAAGATATGTATGGTATAAAGTGATCTCCTCTAATTGCTTCTGAAATGATTCTTTTAGTATCACAAAAGGTCATGCCCAATGCACAATATTCTTGCTGGACCAAGAAAGTGGTAGATGCTTCTACTCGTATTTTGAATATGTTGATTGGAAACCAATTTAAATGATGAAATGTCGATTCAATTTCTTTCATTAACACTAATTAACAGTTTTTATATTGATGGGGGAGGTCCAAGTAATTACCGGCCAACGGCTAGCCTTGTCAAGCTGAGTGGCTCCCTCCTCGGCCTGGTCGAAATAGAACCTCGCCCTTGTAATTTGCTTTCTCATGAAATCTCTCCAATTATCAGTCACTTTTCTTGAAAACACATCCTCATCGCACAGCCCAAATTGGGCTAGCTCATCTTGGGGAAGATAAACTCTCCCTCTCAATGCACTGAAACAACTCACCCAACAATGGTTATGGAAATGAAACTATAGAATGGCTGAAGAAGTAAAATACAGATGGAAAAGTCTACGTTGACAAGTTCAATTCGGTACCAACCGAGCAAAATTTGGACAAATTGTATTTTGACCCTTCAACTATAGATAGACTCAATTTTATTTTATCCCTTGAACTATTAAATTTGTCATTTTACTCCCTCGATTATAGTTGTTGATTGGTTTACTTTTACATTCGCCTAAAGCAAATGCTTGTTATTTTTTATAATGAAAATGTTCACTTTTTTGAATCATATAATGTGTAGACAAAGTAAAATAATTTTTTGTCAAATTACTCGGGGATGTCAATTATTAGTATAGTGGAGCAACTATAATTGAATGTATAATATGAAAAACATGATATTGATGAGATGGTGACAATGCAAATAGGTAATAAAGGAGTCTCACTCTTCTCCCACGTCTCTAAGAATGTTGGTGAGTTGATTTCCAATGCCCAGGGAAAGTGCTGCATTGTAGATAGTGTGAGTAGAAACCCGACATTCTGGTGCAATCCCCATTACTGGAACACTCATTAGGCCAACAGTTCCAGCCACGTAGTAGCAGTAAAGGTAGAGTTCTTGGAAACTCTCGTACCGATTTTTCCTAGTGTCCATTCTCATCCCCTCAATCATACCCTTAAAAGGCTGCAAAGAAATATAATTATGAGGAACAATTTGTTTCAAATACAGATATATTAGTGAATTATGGCTGGATATCATGTTTATTACATGTGATTACGAGAAGGCACCTGACTTCGAACGAATGCTAACTATATAGTTAATACATGCAAGTCAAACATACTTTTGCAGCAAAAAATAACGAAGTTACCAAACAAGGTGTAGTTGCGACCAAAGCGAAACGACAAGACAAAGTTAAATTTTTTTTTTTTTAGCTTAGATTAGAGCCTATCGTAACTTATTTTGACTTGCGCGAATGAAGAAAATCCTGATGTGTCTTGCAAAGAAGCATTAGGTGTTTATGATGTGCTTCCGCTCGCGAATCGTGTTCTACAATCACTCTTTGAAGAGACTTCGATATTTTTACATATGATTAAGAGTAGGCATTGGGGCCACAAATGCGCATGGGATGGCAGTGTATGGCTATTCACTTGTCAACAAGACTGGCTTGGCAAGGCCCAGTGCGAAGAAAGTGCAGCCTATGACTTATCATTTATGTTTGAGTTTGTATAATGGGCCTTGTTTATTTTTTGTTGTGACACATTTTGGCAGGCCGATGGGTATGGCCATCCTATCTATTGGGTCGGTGTAGCCGAAAAAGAAAGCCCACGACACTAGACTTTATGCCCAGCTCTGGGTTGCGGGTTGTTTACCAAATCTTACATGGGATTATTCTACATATGTTTTCCCTTCATAATGTAATCAGGGTAGAAACAAAAGGAAAAATTGTGAAAAGGTACGTTATAACCTACTTATATGTGAGAAAATATTTTAATATAAATTTTTTGTATATAAATCTTTTTTTGTATAAATGTTTTGTGATCAGATATACTTTGACTTTTTAAAAATATATTTATGTAAAAATTATTTTCCTTTATATGTGGAAGATAAGTTAGGCAGTTAATTATGGGATTCAGTTTCCTATTTTATTGGGACAATTTTTGTATTTTTTATTCTATTTTAATGGTTAAGTGGTCTACTAAATTAAAAGATAATTAATCATTTGAATTTTAACAGGATTCCATTAATTTTAAAAAGATTTCTTATTTTCTCTCTATATTTAACTTTTACTGTTAATATCTCTCTCCCTGTTCTCTCTCTCTCTCTTTGTTTATGCAATGTTATATTTAAGTCACATTATTGTGTTATAGATACCCATCCTGTACAAAACACTGCATATGATGTTTGATTTGTAGTGTGATATTGAAGTCACACTTTTGATGCCCACACTATGAAAAAACAATGCATATGATTGGTAGTTACATTGTGACATTGGATTTATATTGTGATACTCACTATGTACTTTTGAATCTTTATATGAGTCACAGTGTGATACTATCCATGTGCAAATCCTATATATGGTGTCTATATGTAGTGTGACATTAATGTCATATTTTGTAATGCCCACAGTGTCACCCATAAGCAGTATGACATTGGCATCATAGTAAATGTCACAATGTTTTTGTTAGAAAATATATATATAGAGAAAAAAAGTCTTTATCTTAGAAAGTATTTAAAATTAAAGAATTTTGATTTTGCGTCAGCTTTATTTTAGTCCCAATTATATATATATATATATATGTGTGTGTGTGTGTGAGAGAGAGAGAGAGAGAGAGAGAATGAATGAAATAGTTCTAATATAAAAAAATCTTAAAATTAATATTTTTTCAATATGGTTAGGGGTATTTTGGTCTTTTTGCTCTAAAGTGTACTTTTTGTTAAATATTTTTAAAGTTTATATTTAAAGTCAAATAAGTTATAAATCATGCACCGACTTTCAAAAAAACCCAAAACAAAATCGAGAATCATCGCACAACAAACTTGTATATCACCTTGATATCTATGGGGAACTTGTAAACAGTATCAGTGAGGGCTGCATCAAGAAGGTCAAAAGGACGTCCGTCAAATATGTCGTGTAGTCTCTCTTCCCACCTTTCCAGAACAGCAGAGCTCATATACACAGCATTTGGACCATCCACCAGTTCATCTGTTCTCCTACACCAAACTGCAAAAAAAAAAAAAAAAATTATTCAAGGAAGAATACCTCCTGAAACTAAAGGAGGAGAAGTGATGGTGTCAAATGAGTAGTCTTCATAGATTTTTGTTGAAGATTACTAAACAAGGACTTAAGTTTGCTTCTAATCTCATAATTTTGCATGAATTTTCCTCCGATTATATCACCTGACTTAAAAACTGTTCGAGGTTGAACTTAACTGTAATTGACTTACCATATATAGCCCATATAGCTTTCTGTCGCGGCTCGGTCATTAGCAAGGTTCCTACATCAAGACAGCAAACTGAATATTAATCTCAAATCCAACCAAATTTGATTCAAATCTATCAAAACACATTTTGACCAATATTGGGATGTCCTATATTTTTTCATTTTTTGGATCTTGTAGAGTTCACGAATTGATCGTTAAATATGATGAGATATTTGCAAGATTCAAGTTTGCAAGAATTTTTAGAAAGTACAAAGCAAGAATAACCTTGACTGGAATACAAGAAGATCAACGTATAGGAAATATTGAGAAAGAAAGAGACTGGGAGTTTACCTAAGTAGAAAGTCTTTGCATATTCTGCACAAATATTTCTGCATTGTTCATAGGCTTCTTCAAGGAACATAGGCTGGAACTGTGGCCTTCTACAAGTATCATCTGCAAACATTGCACTTTTCTGTGATTGCCTTTGAACAATTTCATTTACATGCAAATCAGTGTGAGGAATGCCTCGGAGTGATAATTCCGGGGCCCCTCGTGTGCTTTTTCTCTTTGGTGCAGCTATAGTCACTTCAGATCTTATTGTTTTCACTACGGTTTTGTGAAACATAAATTTTTCATTGCTCACTTTGATGTGAGGTTTGGATGGGATTAAAAATGTTGAAGACATTGCCAACTGGAAACCAAAAAAAAAAAAAAAAAAGCTATCAAATACTACTCAGAAAGACTTGGACACCCTCCTTGACATTACAGAGAATAGACCATTGCTTTTCACACCTATGAACTATGTCTCAGTCTTAACAAGGTGTGAATCTCTCTCTATATTACTTTGTAAAATGAGAAGTTGGTCCTATATACACCCTACCACTCTTCTCTCTCTCTCTCGTGAGGAGTCCAAGGCAACATATATAGTGTATACCTGTTTTATATTATTTGCAGCATCTTAGACTTTAATTTCACAACAATACAATGGCCGAAAATATTTTGGGGATGTCCGGCCAATGATCAGCAAGATACTTTGACACCATCAACTATGCTCTCGACTCGTATTGCCCCTCAATTGTGTCTTTTTTTTTTATATTTTAAATTACGCTTATTAAGTTTACAACACCTTAATTACAAATGTCCGTCCCAAGTTACAACACAAAACATGAATGAGATAAGAAATTAGAGAGTTTGAGTTTTGTTTTTCAAAACTACCCATTTTATAAACGAATGAACTTGATATGATATGATTAATAAATAAATCAGGTATGAGTAAAACTAATAAAAAAAAATTTATGACGTGACTCGTTTATATACCGGTTATACACGATTCATATACAATACAATTTGTTAGACACGAATTACTTAACACATCAGATATATGTAAAGTGCATTTTGACAAAAACTAGTTAAAATCCGATACACTTGACAAGCCTAGTATCAGATAAGTGATGATGTAAGCATTGTAATTTATTATATGATATATAGATTGGGGGGGGGGGGGTTGATGTGCACAAAGATGCGGATTTGTCTAGTAACGCTAAACATTGGAATAAAATTGTTGAAAAGTCGTCTTCTTATGGAAACCAAAATGAGGATCTTAATCACATTCGATACCCTTTAACTTCATTGTTCATTTTTTTTGTCGTTTCTCTTTTTCAATAAAATAATAAAATAATTGTTTTTTTAACATGGTCCACATTTTTATTGAATGGAAAATTAAGTTATTGTATCAAAAAATTACTTCTAGATATCTGCCATCGTAAATATCAACTCAAAAAGGGAAAATGAACAAAATGAAACGAATGAATATTATTGCCTTCAATTTTTCTCTTTAGCAAATTGCATGATTTCACTTTGCCTCCTTAACTGTTGAGTCTCTCACTTGTCTCCCTCAACGTCTTCAGTTGATTTCTTAATGCCCTACAACTAAAGTTGCGTTTGGTGAATCTTCTACAAATAAGTCTATTTTGTTAAAAAGTGGACTTTTTTAAAATTTATTTTTAAAAAATATAAATATATATGATATTTTTGATTAAAATGACCATCTATATATAATAAAATATAAGTGTTCAAAGTCTAAAATAGAACCAATGTGAAATCAATAATCATAGTTGAATACATAATGTGATAAATGTAGTAGTAGATGGGGTGATATGAAATAATATTTCATGGTTGGAAGCAACATGTGAAAAACGGGATAGTTGAAGGAGCACTCAGATGTTAAAAAAAAGAAAAATAAGGAGAACTATGAGATAGAAGGCATAGTTGAGGGGTTAAAGTATAGTTTGTCATATATATATTTTTTTTCTAATAATTGCTTTTAATTTTTTCAGTCCTTTTGTGGAAGATGTTTTCAACTACATGGTTGTTTTGGCGTTTTCTTGGGAAGACGGGAATGTTGAAAATATAATAAACATAAATTTTTATGTTTTAGGACTTATATTTTATGCATTTAATTTTTGTATTAGTGGGTTATTAATTTGCTAGTAGTGAGGGACAAAGTAAATGTGGTATGTTGATTCTCTCAGTAATGGAGAATGACATCTTTATTATTTTTATTATTGCATTATATAGTGAAGTTATATTGCATGTCATTAGAGTCGATATATCATATGTAATACACTCATTTGGATATGAGTGAATTGAAAGAGTTCTTCCTATTTTCAATACTCTTTTTCATTAAATTTTTTGTGAGTGTGTGATAGTCTTCTAGATTTCAACAAAGTGGTATCAAAGTTAGACTTGAGTGTCGAGAGAGAGAGAGAGAGAGAGACAGTGTGTGTGTCAATGAAATTCTTCCATTTCAAATGTCTAAATTCTCCAAAGATAACTATGAAAATTTGTGTATTTGCATGAAGTCGATTCTTGGATCTCGAAACTTGTGGAACAATGTAACAAATGGTTACACAACACCAGAAATGAAATCTCCTTAAGTTAAGCCCAAAAGGAAGCCTTGCATGTTACAAAAAAAAAATAAAAATAAAAAATAAAAAAGGATCAAAAAGCTCTATCACTCATCCATCAATGCTTGGATGACACAATGTTACGAAAGGTTGCTAGTGTAACCACATCCGAGCAAACATGTGATGTTCTTTAAACCACTCATAGTGGAGTGAAAAAAGTCAAGAAAATTTGTTTCCAAATTTTACGAGGTGAATTTGAGGCTTTTCCCATGAAGGAATTTGAATTAGTTTCGAATTATTGCACAAGAGTCTTGGCCGTTGTGAATAATTTGAGAACATATTATGATGATTACTATGATGATACCACGGTGATAGAAATTTTTTTTTCTGTTCATTGGGCCCCAAGTTTTACTACATTGTTGAAGCCATTAGGGTGCAATTAATAACATTTTTTTTCCGTTTTTTGTTTTCAAAAATAAAAAAAAAAGATGAAAATATAAATATTTTTTGTTTTTTTTTTCTTTGGTAAAAAGTTAAAACAAAAAACATGTTTGGTTTCCATTTTCATTTAATATTTTTTTTTCCTTTTTTTTTTGTTTTCTTTTTCGGGGGGCGGGAGGGGAAGGGGATGGGAGACTTGAACCCTTGACTTCAACAAGACAAAACCTTTACAAGACAAGGAGTACCATTGGACCAAAATTATACTAGAAAATATGTTTGGTAATCACTTCAATTTATGTCATATTTAGTAATTTTATATTAATTCCTTGCTAAAAAATAAATTAAAATTCATGGTCCCAATACTTCCATCATCTCATCAAATAAGACATAAATCAAAATATTTGAATCACATAAGTCATTAAACATACCAATGCATCTCATTGTTCATCAGACTACTAAATTGATAGTGCATAAACGATCAAATTAACACCACAAGTGAGCATCAATCTCATCAAACACTACAAATTTAGACACACAAGTTGCATGAATTCTATTGGGTGAATTAGAAAAAGTTGAAAGTAGAAATGCTTAGACCAATTATACAGATTACGCATAACAAAAATAGCAAAGACTCTCTCAGTGGAACTAGCAGTGACACATATACCAAACATGTTACTCTTAAGTTCTATAGGGAGACCTACAAATTCTACAAAAGGTCACTATTATTCATGTTCATTAACTGATATGAATGAAGAAGATATGCATATGACCAGCATGTGAGACTTGCGGGCTATGATCAATAAACCCAAAACTTTGAAGAAGTCCATCGTCTGTACAAAAAGTAACAAGTTGAATTAGGCAGTGAAAGCAGATTGAAAGAGCTCTTGTGTATGTAGTGGTAGGGAAATAAATATTTGCGTTGCACACACAACTTCACTCAAATTTCAACATGTCACTAACGCACACGAACCTTCACATATGAACATAGATGAACACATACATAAATTGATACATACAAACACAAATTCACACTTACACAAACAGAAATTAATAGCCATACACACACAAAGACACAAATTCACACACAAACACACAAAGACATACACAAATGCACCCATGTTGACCCATATACACACACACAAACCCACAAACACACACACACACACACACACACACAGACCAACATATACACACACACACTGACCCGTATATCCAACACACACACCAAAACACATACACACACACACACAAATGCATATACACACATATTTATATACAACAACATTTATGCAGATCTATGCACACACACACATATACAGTATAAAGTTAAAAAACTAACCGTTTAGAGAGAGATTGAGATATGAGCTTCAGAGATGGAGATTGAAGTTGGATTTGAGGTTAAGAGATAGAGATTTGAGATGGGAGGCTTCGATTCTCCTTCGGCTAAACTTCACCCAAATAGGAGAGGGAGAGAGAGGCGAGAACGGGAGAGAATAATAGGGTTTTATACTTCCTCCTCTAAAACTTTTATTTTGTTGCTAATGGAGTTTGAAGGCTAGACCTCATTAAAGGTCCCCCAGCTGCGCACCTTGTTTCTATTTGTGGGTGCTTTTAATAACATCTTTTTTGTTTGTTTGTAGATTTGGTTTTTCCTTTTAAAACAAGTTAGCTAGAAGAAAAATGCAAACATAAGCATAAACACAGATGAATATGTGTTTTTGTTTTTTTTTTTTGGCAAAAACTAAAAGCAAAAATACCAAAAAAAAAAAAAATAGTTACCAAATGGACTCTAATAGACACAATGACGATTGACGAACTCAAGATATTGTTGCTAGCCCATGGAGAATGGCTAAGTAAGAAGAAACAAGAGCTGCTGGAGCAAGTGCTACAAACTAAGCTTTCTTTCAAAGAACAATAAATAAGACAATAGGGAAGTCAAAGAGGTAGAAGGCATGGAAGTGGAGGTCATGGTGGATGTGACATATGTAGAGGAGAAAGCTTTGGATAAAATTCATCCAACAAAGAAGAAAGATGTCAAGAATCACACAGTGAAAGAGGACGTGAAAAAGGCAACAATACAAAGTCATATAGAGGGAGGTATGAAAATCTCATATTCAATGTTATAATTGTCACTGATATGACCATTTTACTTTTGAGTGTAGAATGATTTTGTTGAAGAAAGATCACACTTTGTTGAAGACAAAGGTTAAGGGGTTTAGCCGATTTTGTTGTTGACATACAAAGAAGAATAAAAAGGATACAAAAATGTGTGGCACCT